GCAGTTTAGTCCGAACGTTGGAATCAATTTTGAATTATTTATACCATTTCAAGATTAAAAAATAAACAGAACACAAACTGTTTCACATTTTTTTTCAATTTTAAAGTTTTCATTAGCATTTTCCTCTTTCCGCACATACAGATTTTGAGGACAGTAAATGAAATAAAAGTCTATGTGACACTACTACTATGTTCCACATTTTTACACTACTCACCTGTGCGCCCAGACAGCTCCAAATAAACAATGCAAACAAAGGTCACAACAGAGAGTGAGGGGGCTTCCATTTCGTGGCAATCATCTATTTAGTAACTAGAGAGAAGCCGTTGCTGTGCCCTGCTCCGTGTGACTGCAGGAAGCTCTCTGCTCCTGCTGCAGACGTCTCTTTGGGTGACGCGTTCACAGCTGTCCACTCTGGCACCCAGCCCTGTACCTATTCATGGTTTTACCTATTTTACCCATTTGATGTGACTCTGAATGTGTGTGTGTGTGTGTGTGTGTGTGTGTGTGTGTGTGTGTGTGTGTGTGTGTCTGCTTGTGTGTGTATACTTAATAATATATATGGTTTGGGGTGGGTCTGTTGGGTTGTCAAAAAGTGCTTTATTAATAAAATTTGATTGATTGATTGATTGAGAAGAAGGACCAGTGGAGAGCAGGGAACCAGGCACGACAGGGGACGAACAGGCGCCCGACAACCAACTCACTCGACTCTTATTAAAACCTAATTAGGACTTTCTCCCTGCTATTTGGTGGGTGATTATATTTCATTGTATAGTGATATCCAGGTAAATTAAGATTCAATTTATTCCACCCTGCTTCTAGCAGCATCTCCATTTCATATCAAAGAACAATTGAGATCTTATCTTGGATTAAAGAGGCGAATATTACTGTTAATTTAAAATATGCACATGTACAATTGCGGAAACAGCTTAAGCATTCATAGCACTAAAAAGACGGAGACAATTATGGTCTAAAACTCAAAGGGCTATGAGAATCCATTATAGAAGAAAAAGAATTTAGAGCTGTAAGAGGGCTTGAAAAAACTTAAGAGACGTGACAGGAAGTCTTATCAAAAGAAGGTCCTGTGCTTGTCAGGTGACAGTGTTACAAAGTTGTACTTGTTCAAAATGGAAATCTTCCCAGACTTCCTCTTGCTTGGCCTTTATACCAACTCGGCACCCCACAGTACCCCCACTGCAAACTAAGCTTCGGCATCTGAAGTGGTGACACTTGAGATGGTGAAAGTGACAACATCTTAACATAAGCTGAGGGGCCAAAGTGAAAGTCAGAGCAGACCCCCAACAACCTCTCTTCTCTTCTTCCTCCCACATGACACTTACTCCATCATCATTCCAACCCTTCACTCTCAGAAAACACAGCAGCTGCACTGTCTATGCCTCCCTTGTCTTCTTGGGAGGGAGCAGGTGGATGGCTCCCAAAGCAGTGAAAGAAATTATAAAAAGTGTACGCAGAATTTAAGTCACTTGGTTCATTCTCTCCTGCATGTCTTTCCTCCTAACTCAAATCTCAGGTACCTGCAAACAGAACTAGACGCATGTAATCCTTCAAATCCAGCCTCTTCCAAAGAGTGTAAAACCGGGAATGCTGTGTGAGGTCACTGGATTAGACAGAATTCATGGTGGTAGCTTGGCTTGAGAGTTGGAATTAGAGGAGTGGGGAAAAGAGTGGGAAGACTGGGCTGGTGTTGTATTAATTTGAGCTTACCAGGTGGTCCCCCTCCCAAAAGTGGACACAGTGTGTCAAGTAATCTGAAAAGCCCCCTGGGTGTTTGTTACCCATTGGCCAGAGGCCTGGTAAAAAGAGACAGAGCGGGACAGAGAGAAAGAGAGGGGTAGGATCGGGAGGAGTGCTGCTGTGGCCATTGAGGCCACAGTGAAATGTCTGTCAGGCTTGGTTTACCACAATCACAGCAGTGATTAGACCTCTTTTGATGACAGGTTTAGTTTTCTGTCCATTGGAAAGAAAGTGAGAATGGACAAGAGGTGGGGTAAAGGGGGCGAGGGGCTGCACTAGGACTTTGGGGGTGGGCCTTTACGCACTGCTGCAGCAGAGCGGGAGGGGTCACCACAGAGGAGGCGGGTATATTCATGTCTTGCACCGGGGAGCTGCTACGTAATTTCCCAGCAGGTCGTGGGGTCAGGTTTGTATTTAGTTAGTGGTAATGATCTCGTTAGGGATCTGAATGGACCACCGTCTAAGCCCATTGAGGGGAGCGAGTGTGCCTCCCCATCCCCCAGCTCTGGCTGCCTTGTGTGGGCTTACACAGCCTGTGAACTGTGATTAATGGACTTCCAGGGCTTAATAACTTGCAAAACAGTATTAAACAAGGGAGGCCCCAAGACAATCGGAGAGGCTACCCAGGCGGAGTAGGAGGTGGCTGTAAACAGTGTCCGGCAACAATTGCAATGCATGGAATTAACTGAGATGGGCCACTCACAATGCTACAGCTGGCTAGTGGCAGGGAGCCAGGCCTGGGAGAAAGCTTCAGTGGGGTTTCCAGGTGGCCTGGACCAGGCCTGGCCTTTTCAGTTTTGTAAGTGCTAAAAAATAGAAGGGGAGAAAGGCTACATTTGTGATGGGGAGACAGTGAGAGGAAGCCATTGAGCAGAGAAAAGAAAGAGATTAAAGAGCACAGAGTGTGATAAGCAGATAATAGCGGGACACATTCAATAGAACAAGTAATCCTTGACATGCAAGCACAAACATTAGGCCCTTTGTGTTTAGTGTCTAATTCAAAGCAGAATGTGTAAAGTGGCAAACCACAATACTAGCGATCCACATAAACAAGTATACAGAGGCATGCTCATCTGTCCTCGTACAAACATATACAGCCGCCTCCCACATCTCCTGCTACAGTCCTGTGCTCCTCTTCCCAGCCTTGTGCCCTCCTGTGTGCAAACAAATGATCGCAGCATGCAGTCAGAAGAAGTGATGTGTTCAGACCACCCTCCACTCTGTTCTCCCAAACACTGGTGTGCACTTTCTGCCATTAGAATGACCAGAGAATCTCACAATGTGACGAATGGTCCCACGGCGGTGGGAAAAATGAAACCCCATCAACTGAAACGTGACAAAGTTTGTATTTCTAAACTGGGCAATGTCTTTATAATTTAACCATATTGCTGTAAATTAACACCTTTGGAAAATTGAAGTAATTAATTGAGTAGAGATTATTTATGAATTCATTAATTTATTGGCAAACCCAAAGAATACATGATCTATTGTTGTCAATCCTTGCGATAATGATGACAACATGAACTGTTGTGGGTCAGCCTGGTGTTTGTCCTCTTGACAGTGAGACATCTCCAAATGATTGACATGAGTGTTGTCCTAATCTGCTTTCTCTGCAGCTCAGGGATGAGCAGGACAAAGGATCACTTCTCTTTCACTCACACACAAGTCCAATATGTCTCCGAAATATTTACCTTCTCACTTAACTAAATTGGCCTATAAGTGGTTATTTATTCTGAATCTAAATACTCGTTGGTGGCTATTTTTGAATAGACGCAATAGCTTTTCTTATTAGGGCAGGTAAAAACTGATTCTTACATAATTGTACACAAGATAGACATAACATTTCTCTGTAAATACTTCTAATAGACTAGTACAAATGAGAACCAGATAGGGTAGTGTATAATCATTATTGTGCCATTTTACTTCAGCCTTACTGTTACTGTTGGGCCCTTTAAAATGGTTAGTTCTTGTCAAAGTGAGCAAACATTTGATCCTTCTTTCTGATCTAAAAAGGACTAATGTTTAAGCAGCATAATTTTACAGAGTTAGTTGTAACATAGTGCAGCTCGGTCTTTTGATCATGTTCCCTCGGACTTTAGCTGATGTGCATTGGTGTGAGTTGGGGCGGTCCACTGCTGTGCTAAGCCTCTGCCTCGCCGCTCTCACCCTATCTTCTCCCATCATGAATAATGGAACACAGAAATACATTTATCTTTTAATAGCTCTAGCCCCCTGTCTGCGTGCAAAGTGCTATGTGCGCCCCGAACCGCCACCGTCCTGGGTTGGAGTTTTTGAGAAGTTGCCCCTCCCCGAGCCACCACCCAACCCGTGATTGTCTCTGCTCCTTTTGAAGTCGGGCTTCTTAGTGTCCTAGAGATGGGTAATCAGGCTTGATTCTGGAAGGGTCAGGCCATCTTTGAAGAGGCGGTCAACCCCAAGTTCGACTGTGTGTGGAGGAAATGCTCCCAGCTCTGAGTCATGACGCGTTGTAGTATTCCACGGCTTTACACAACGCAAAATCAGCCAATTAAAATGATTTAAGTTCTATGTGAAAAATTCTGTTAAATCAAGTGAATAGAAAATAGAAGAAATCAAAATTAGGTTAAATAACACAATTTGTACGGACTATGAATATCTGTGGAGTTTACTTATTTTGAAATATTTATTTATTTATCAGGGATTGCCCCTTGAGATGAATCATCTGTTTTTCGAGGGGGTCCTCCCTCGGATTTTTATGTGATTTAAATTAAAATAACAATTAATTTTGTATTTCACAATGTAAAATGTGCATGTAACCTAATGCTATTTTTTTAATATACAGTACATCTATTTATAGGTAATAAATCAATTTACACAAATGTATAACATTTTTGAAGAAAGAAGTAGAAGACATTTTAAGAAAATAAATACAAGTCACTTGCGAAATGAAAAGTGAAAATTAAATTAAAAGTTGGTGAAACTTGAGAAACTTGATTTTTAAAAATAGATCAAAGTAGTTTAAAGATAGTATTAGGCTAATACACATACAGCTAATATATCACTTGATGATAGAGGATTTTCAGATGAAAGATCATAAATGAAAAGCTGTATCCTAAATTATTAAATAAAATAAAAAAATATGTATTTATATTTCTATTTATGTATATATCATTACTACCAGAACAGGCTCACAGATAAAGATATGTATGATCCGTGGCATGAATCATGTTTCCCCATAATGCTTGGTTTGGTTCCGTGGCGCAGTGGGACTAAGGCGCTCGGTCTTTGTTTAACTGTGGATCAGGAGATTTGAGGCGGGTGTTGCGGCGCGCACATCTGGACACGTGCTTTAGCGTGCCGCGGATGGGAAAAGCCAGCGCATGAGACACCTTAACTCTATGTTTGTCCACGCTGATTTAAAGCTCAAACATCCCTCGGCGAGACACCTGCGGGAACGGCAAAGCCCAGGCAGAGGCAGCGAACAGTGGATTTAACAGTCATTGGAGGGTGAAATTGTTTTATTGCTTGTTATGAGTGCTTAGAGTACATGTGGTTTATTGGATATGGTTCTCGCTGATTTGATTGCGTTATAGAGCATATCATTCAAACGCACAATGCTATAAACAAATGTACATGTTTCCCCCATTTATGATTTTTTTTTAGAATATTTTTTATTCCACTACATTTTATTCTAAAGTTTTCTCCCTGAACAACAGCGATACAAACTGTGCAAATGTTCCAACACATATTTTCCGTCTGTTTTCTGATCAAATAATTGCACAAATGCAAAACACAAAGGACAAAACACTCTTGAGAAACACTGAAGCTGACATCACTTTTTTCAGCCAACAATAACAAGTTCAAGCACACACTTCTTCCCAACATGTCCCCTCCTCCCTCTGTTCCACACATACGGACACTAGGACCTAAATCTCTCTCCATATCCACACCGCGTCCATAGCAGCCCCTCTCTCTTACCCACAATCCCCCGCTCCCCTGAGCCTCTGAGCAGTAGAGTTAGTGCGGTTATGCGTCATTCGCCCGTTTTCGGATGAGGCCTTGCTGCTCGCGTTTTGGGGCTGGGTCCTGGCCAGCAGCTCCTCAGCTCCCTGCTCGGCTCTGTGGAAGGCAGAAGAGCTGAAAGTACCATTTATCATCACTTGTGTGGGCAGCATCACCACGGCAACGCTCAGGCTGGCAAATGCCACTGCTGTGAATACTAATGAGGCTCTTGGCAGGCCTGTGTTGGCGTCAATGGGGCCAGGGTTGTACGCTCGCTGCGTTTCTATGTGTTTGTGTGCGAGTGGGCTCTAGGAGGGCTACAGTAGAGGTAAACAGTCCAAAGGAAATCAATTAAGTGTTTCCACGGTGTTTGGCAAGCGCTCTAATCTTCCACACCACATTTTAAAATAAGGGCGAAATCTGCCTTTAATGCCTCCTCTGCTTCCTGCATGACAATAAACTGACAGGCAACAATAAACAGGCGTGCACAGCCGAGCTTGACTAAGTCCTCCAGTAGCTGTGGTGGCAAATCACAAGTCAAGTCATTATGGCACTTCCTTACTTTACTTTCTTACACTACAAGTCTGTTCAAAAACTAAACTGGAACGCTTCTCTTAGCAAGTTTCTATCCACGTCATAATGCAAAAAGTGAACCGTATAATAGCCACTGAACTAGCCACACCTGCCTTTTGGTGATGTGAAGTTTCAAAGGAGCGTGCGCAGTCTCACCTGTCAGACATGATCTGTGGCTCTCTGTTCCCTGGTGCCTCTCAGGTCGGAGTGATGCTGTGAATAAATTGCCTGGAGCACGCCTGCTTTGCTCTTTATTGATTCAGCCACTTTGATTGAGCAGGGATCTAATCAATTCTTCAGTGGTGGTGAGACAGCAGTGAAATTATTCCTGGGCAAGCCCCTCAAACAACTTGTCATTAATTTGCCTCTTTACTGCCACTTGTTTGCAGGGATGAGATGCTTTTGGGCTTTCTATGTCTATTAGTGAGGTTGCGCTCCTGGGATTTTCATGGGCTGCTAAGCTTCTGGGAGAAGAAAATGTGTGTGTGTGTGTGTGTGTGTGTGTGTGTGTGTGTGTGTGTGTGTGTGTGCGTAGGTTTTGGTATTTTGTGGCCAAATATGTTTATGTGGTTGTAACATGGTGGCGATTGGCCGCACTTTGCCTGCTCAACCTTACAGAGAACTTATTACAGCTAATACATAGCACAGTTCACATGAGCGCACAGGCTATCGCACTGGCCTGACATTGTTTGAATTTTATACACAGGTCCAAATATTCAAGTTATTTTCTTACTATTTATATAATTTATTGTAATTTCTAAATACCAATGGATAAAAGATGGAGGTAGTTTGTCATTGCTTTTTAGAATACATAAATAACACTAAAAGAATATAATGGACCAAGTAAATATGGACCTGGTGACCTTGAGGACAATTGAATAGAAATAGTTGCTGTAGCAGTGGTAGTACTGGATACAAATACAATTAATATTTTATTTACTGGTGAGTGAATAGAAGAAGAGGAAGCAAAAATATTTCAATGTTATGTAAACCAATTCTAGCTCAAAACAAATTGGTTCTATTGGTTTTCACATCATTAGGTTAGTTTTCTTAGACAGAAAAGTGATAAAAAAGACAACATTTTAATTAGATAAAGCCAATATGTGGTTTGATTTGTTCACAGCATGCTCTATAAAAAGTCTTTGTATGAGTGTTATCTATTTATGAACACAAAACGTCAGGTATTTCAGCTTTTAGTATTTAAATATTAACTAAACTGCATTCCATGAGATCCAGGATGTGTTTGTAAGCGTAATCTTTTCTTATAATAAATCATTCAAGCCTATTTAATTTGACTATTTTGATAATGCTGTGATTTGCTTGTGGTTTTACATTGGCTTCTATAAATATTGATAGTAATTATGACATTGCTTTCACTTGAGTACTGTTTTGAGTAGTTGCTTCACCTTCCAGTATCCCTCTGCCCTGGAGTCTTGAGTTAATGAAAAATCAACTGGTGGCAAAGCGACACTAAGACCTCTTCCTGGGGAAAAAAAAACACTGCATATTTGCGCTGGGCATAGTTTTCTGCTAATTCCAATCATTATTTAGTTGCATAATAGCTGCAATTATATTCAGCACAAAGTGATATAAGGTATAAGCACCAATTAGCAACTGGTCATTATCTTAAGCATTTGGTGCACTGGGAGAGAGAAGTAATCGCCGACCATTGAGTAATCCTTGCACTGAAAAATGACTTGATAGCACCTCGGTAATTAGGAGCGCCTGTTTGCTTTCCGACATAAAAGAATCCACCAACCTCTATTACTACATTTGAGAGTCATATTTTGCAATTATGAAACGTTATTAATGTATGTGGTGAAGATGACAATGTGTGGTAATTATTCTGAATGCAAATACAGAGGCCGGTAAAGTAGCATCATTTGAGTAAAGTTGTACATTTGCATAGCGCTAACAAACAAAAAAATAACCAAAAGTGAACCAACCAGGCCCAAATTTCAAACAGAGACGGCTTCTGCAGAAACAATAACAATGGAAGATTCTGGAATAAATAAAAAGCCTCGGTGTTCAAATGGTATATAATGGTGATGTCCTAGGCTCTTTGCTGTGCATGTGTCTGTGTCTCAAAGCTGCACCAGCGAGGATCACAAGAGCCGTATCAAAGCGCTCAGCCGCCATGCGAAATGTCTTGACGCAGCGGGGGATTGTGGGATTGTTGTTGGCGTCCCGACTGCCTTTGAATGTCAGCCTCACTAACAGGGCAGTTGGCCTACATGCTACTGCAGACAGCACACCCCTTCCACTTTCAACTTTTCTATTCTCTTCTTTTGGCCATGCTCACTCTTTCTGGATACAGCGCCTCTCTGTGGCAAAGAAGATGACAAGCATGACAAGGAGATCTTTTTCAAAAGTTTGTGCGGTAAATACAAAAAATGTTGGCATAGGCTGCGGCGGATGCTAGGACGGTGTACTATTTAAAAGCAATGCAGGCTGAGGCTGTTTTGTTGCTAGTGACACAGGCAGGAGTTGTGAAGGCTGTATTGGGGGGACACAGCTGAGCACAACAGCTTTGCACATAAATCAAGCGCACCCCGTCTTAGTGGACCCTGCCTAATAGATGTTTAACTAAACCCCCTCATTTGAAACAGTTTGACCCTAGTCCGCTAAAACACAATGTGAGAACTCCCGGAGGATTAGGCCCTGACCTCACCCGCAATAGAAGGACGGGCCCAGGAAGGCTATAAAGGAGCTGGCCATTGTGCGGCCCAGGCATGGGGGAGGACAGTGTTAGGGGAGATACATGCCACTGGGAGGAGATGGTCTTGTAGTAACGACATCTTGATGGAGCATCTCTCCCACCCACCAGAGCCGTACACCCTGAGTATGTATTTTAATGAGGCTTTGTGTCTGCCCACATATAGTCCCTGTGCTGACAAGCAACGTGTTAGCAACATGCTCGCCCTTTGTCACAGCACCCAATCGCATCATCGGCTGCTCAGCTAGATTTATGCTCTCTGCCTTTGTGGTCTTTTAATTCCAGTGCAGATGTAAAGTTTCTGGAGAGACTGTTTTTTGTGTGACAGAATTCAACTTACTGTGGGTCCACGGCATGATAATATCTTCAACTAAATATGAAAAAAATAGTGCGATATATCTCAACGATCACTCCAGTGGTTGAGAGCTGGCTGCATAATAGTTCCAAAGTGTTTTACTTTTTATATTATAAGATTTGATTCTTTAGAATTAGTTCCTTTTATTTCCAAGTCCCTTCATCCATCCGTTTTTTGTGAACGTTGAACAATCATATTTTTTTTCTTTTACGTAAAGAAAAAACACAAGGCTTGTGGAAGATCCAAAATCTTTGCCAGGAAGCAATTCAGATTTTATTTTCTTAGTGACTGACCTTGATCGAGAGAACTGCAGGGTCACAGCCTCTCCAGTCTCTATTGTGAGCAGCAGAAGAATGTTAATGAATTGGTACGCTGGATATTAAAATGCGGACCCCAGGCAGACTGCTGTGGCATCTTGAGTGTTTTGAAGGCTAGACGTGCAGAGTCTGACTGGGAAAAGAGTGGGTGTGGATAGTGCACTCTTTTTTTTCTCTTTTCTCATTTAGAACAGAACAGTTTCCCCTTTTCTTCAACAGCGTGAAGCAAATGAATGAAGAGGTAGAGATGTGATTTGTAGGTACAGGAAGTGGCTCGGTTAGAAAGGCTGTCGCTGCTCCAACAATCAAGCCCTGTTCAATACTGAAAGCTTTTATACGCACACACAATAGGATTGAGGACAGTGCCTTGGTGTTACTTATTGGCCCCGGAAGTGCTCGATTCTGTGTGTGGAGGACAGCTGCTTGTCTCCATTTGTCTCCCCGTGCCTTTGATTAGCCTGGCATGCCTGAGAAGGGGGCACAAGCACTGATTGTTTTGAAGGCAAACCTGGCAGGCTATCAGCTGGGAGGATTGTTAATTGAGGGGTAGCGGCAGGACAGTCAACAAAGAACCGCCAGTTCGCCAAAAACAGTAGCAACAGTCGTGTGGAAACGTCTAAGGAGGAGCTTCAAAGCAACACAAATCTTCACAGCACTTCCAAGCCACCATGAAATATTAGATGTATTATAAGAATGCTAATTTCTTGCTTTCGCTTTAATCACTTGCTTTTTGTTGTGGAGTGCGAGCCCCACTGTGTCCAGAATTGGGTGAATAGCATCAGAGCAGCGTGCGACGTGTGAATGATGAAGAATGCATATAGTCTATGAGGAGCGACTCAGGGCTGCAAGACTAGAGATAGCTTAAGGTCGCCATGTTCTCAATGCGCTCATTCCAGTGCCGCCATATTCATATTTACCATAGAATCTTAGAATGACTGCCTTTGAATGGCAGTAATAAAAATTGAGGTTTTTAAATTCATCACCTATCAAGGACAATTATGTGCGGATTTATAAAAGGACTTCTGCATAAATTAAAACCCCAGCTTGCGAAATAAACAGAAAAGCTGAAAAGGGAGACATGGTAACAATGGCAAGCTGGGAAAAATTCTAATCTAAAGGCGCAGATAAACAAAGCTGGGAGGATTCAACACAAGACCTGATTCCAAAAAATCTAATTACTAGTTAGTGGCTACAGTATGCATTTATTTACCT